TTAAAGCTATTTAAATACCTCACTTTTACTCTGAGAACTTGCAGGGTAATACTTACATATACTAGTGCTGATACCACAACAGGATTAGGGTTAGGGAATTAGAAAAAAGCTCATATTTTCAACAGAGCAGAGTAGACTACTTCTTAAGAAAGAAATTAGTCAATGACAGCCACTGAAACTAATAGAGGTTATAGCATATATCAAAATATAAATATACACATTGTATTTTTATGGTCAAAAGGTTCTTACTCAATGTCTCTGTGAACAGAGCCTAGTAGGTCCTCTCGCTCTCGCAAACTGAAGAAGTTGCTTTTGGTTTTGTGGAATTCATGAGTATAGTCCTGTGGGATAAAACAAAATAAAAAATAAAAACAAAGATACATTTAAAGGGCCCATGTCATGCTTTTCCGGTTATTACCCGTGTGTGTGTTATGAAGGTTTTTATGCATGTAAACTGTCTGCAGAGTCAAAAACCCTCAAAGTACACCCAGTAGGGAGTAAAACTCTAACACAGAAAAGACCTCCCCAAAACGCCTCGTTGGAGATTTCTCATTTACTTCCTGGGTATCGCTACGTAGGGATACCCAGTAGCCACGCCCAGAGCTATGGCCGCACCCTCTGCCAGCCTTTCGCGAAACAAAGCTTCCCAAACCTTTCAGCGATTCATGCCGGATATGTACAGCGTAGGGCACTGAAGAACGATGCTGTTCCTACTTTGTTTGGACCAGCAGGAGATTCGGGTACACAACCTGTAAGTATTCATTGTTGTTTGTGTATTTATGATGTTTAAAACAAACAAGGTATCTACCACGACTGTTTAAATGGGTAAACGTTTTTCGGACTGCTAAGTTGGGATCGCGGAGAAATGCTCTCCGCAGACCCATTCTCACAGCGTTATAAACCTTTTTCTTACTCAATATCAAGCCACACTTATTGTTTTTACTTCGGCTGTGAGTGTTTGTGTGCTCAGGATGAGTTTCGCTTGTTCTTGCTGTATTTGTTTCGCCGACACGGAAGCCCTGTCTGCTCCTCACAGCAGCTCCTCACTGCTCGTGAGGCTCACAGCCTCACGAGCAGCTGCACGTCGCTTGGCCAATCAGAGCATACTGGGCTCACAGAGAGGGGGGGGGCAGGAGCTCCAACAAGCCGTTTAGGACAGAGAGTGAATACCGGTGAATACACATACTATACAGAGATGCTGTATGAGAAACCAATGTGAGTTTGGAAAATTGCACAGTATAAATCTATTCTAGTAGACCTCAACAATGGAATTATGATCAGTAGAAATGGCCATGACATGGGACCTTTAAAAAATATTTACATGTGCAGCTGAAACACTTTTCAACCACAGAAAATACCAAATACAAATAAGTGAAGTAATGGCATTTACCTGTAGGATGTCTCTGTGTCTCTGTAAGGTGTGCATCAGGGCTGCGTTATGCGATACAACTCCCGGAGTATTTGTGTACTCGGCCATCTTGTCATTGACTGCTGAAAGCTGCAAAACAAAAAGGATACCAATAAATGCAAGGAGCCATTAAAACATACACTTTTGGTAGTAAGCGATCTTAAACATCTCAGTAGTATTTGAATTACTTGGAAAAATTCAAAATAGAGAATACGAAAGTGAAATTAATGTAAAGTAAACACGAATGTATAATAATATGCATAAACCTAAATTCTGATCTAGTTTGTAATTGAAATATAAACGGTAGTGCTTGCAGGATATACAATCACAGGATGACACAATCAGATTTGGCTGCTAACATTTTTTTTCTGTAAACAAATATTGTTAATAATGAAATTCCCTTAAATATTTTCGGCATCACATCGACTCTGTCCCCTGGGCTTATGGCTGCTTCTGAAGAGGACCCTATATCCCATCATATATGTGTGATATTTGACTTACATTGGCCAATAGCTGCTCCAGCTCAGTTGTCATGGCCACGAGCATATTGTCTTGAGATGAGCCGACAGAATCAGTCCTGATTTAAGGAAAAAAAAGAAAGGATAAAGTACTAGTTCAAGTAAAATAAAAACATTCTGTCATACAAACTATAAAAAAAAAAACTCAGTTAAATTTTAGGCAAGTGCTTAAAAATCTATTAATTTCTATATCCAAGCTTAGTAAAGAGTACATTCACGTTGCTAACGTAAAATGAGTTTTGTCAGTCGACCTGCTGTCTCTCGTCCTCTGGTCCTTGCTGCTGCTGCTGCTGTAGCTGGTGCAGAGTTTACTGAAGGACACCAGCTTGAGATCCAGCTCATTCTCCAGCTGTCTGGCCTGTTTACGCAAATCTGGGTGAAAAAACAGAAAAAACACTCAAGAAAAACATCTTTTGATGGAATAAGACATTTCATTACTGACCAAAAGTTTCTATTTAAAAATAGAAAGATTGGCAATAGGAAGTGGACAAGATAAGAGGCATTATACAATACACTACAATACAAATATAACATTTGCAACCAAGACATTTAAAAAAGAAAACACTTAATGGTTGCGTTTTTCTTAATAGTTTTAAGTTGTACTGTAAGACACAAAGTATGTCTGCAACAAATTTCAAAACTTTAGACCCATCAGAACAAATTATGTGGTATTTGTCTTCATGGTTGTATAGTCTTTAGGTACAAATGGGATTAAGAAGTACAAAGAAAACAATGCATAATTCAAACTCTTTGTTTTTACTGCTGACGATACTTGAGAAAACTTTGAATTAAGTTGTTTTTAAAAATGTTAGCAACTTGTTTCTTTTTGTCTGCAAAGTGGTAGCAAAGGGTCAATCAGCCAAGGTGAGTTAAACAAACCTGTGTAAAATGTAAGCACCAAAGGAGTAGCTACATTTAAAACAGCACTTTACTGTTAAAGACTTGAAGAGATGTTTTTATCACTATAAATTAATTTGTAATCAAGCTCTTTAATACTACAAACCAAAAAGGGGACAGTATCAACAAAGCTAACAATGCAATTATTGCATTAAACGTATCGAGTAAAAAAAGCAATTTACAGAGCTTAATAACGTAAACTGTTAAAGTTCGACGCAAACAAGCTAACAGGTTGACGTTAGGCTAAAACAGCTGAAGATATTCCTTTTCGGCAAGAATACAACGTTTATTATCTTAACGTCTCATGGAACATGTTAAATGTGTCTGACCTTACTCGGTCAAATAATAACAGATGTAAATTTGCACAGTTTTTATAAATTAGATGCTGAAACACAATGTACCTTCCCAGTAGTTGCTGCTGGTCGCCATGTTTGTTGACATGTCATCATCAGCCGCCAAGATGAACCAAGTGTCGCAAATTATAATTTGAGCCACAGCGTCCTCTGCTGGATTCCGGCTGCAAGTGAACCATTTACTGAACCAAATCAATATCTCTCATCATTATATCATCCCGAGGGTCAAAATGTGAAACACAACACCAGAGAGGCCTAATAGCCTCATTGCTTAATAATTGAAATACACTCATCTCTGGACAACAAAACGGTTGTTTTCCCTGATGTAGCTCCATATCGATGACTGTTCATCTACTAACGTGGGCTAGTACAAGTAGGCTACCAAAATAAAACCTCCCATTACAAGTAATGGATTCAGATTTCAAAGTCATAACAGAACTTCAATATTATCAGTAAAATGCACTTAAATCAATTAAAGTCAGCAAAACTGAAATGGCAGAACGGCTGATGATTTAATTAAATTGCTTATGCAACTATACTCAACAGGGCTTTTGTGCAGTTTTTAAGCTTTATATATCCAGGCTATTTAAGTAGCTTCATTTTGAATTACTTGTTCTTTACCACTTTATTGTCTTGTAAACTTGTTCTACTCCACTACATCTCAGAGGAAAAGATTGTGCAGTTAATTCCACTACATTTATGTGATAGATTATAAAAATAAATTAATGAATGAATTATTTGTTTAATAATTCATTATTATTATATCCTTAGTCTTGGTTTCTGTCAATCTTAGTTTATTCGCCTATAGTTCTGGGGCGATGCTTCTGACCCTTGAGCTCCCAATTTCAACTGTAATAATGTATTATTTTGTTATTTTCGTTAAATGTATGTCGTTTGTGAAAATGTAACCTTTTAATGTATTTTGTTTGTATTCTATATTCTGTATTAACTTATCCCAGCGCTTTGTTGAAGCAATATGATTTGTATTTAAGAAGTCTATCCCAAGACACCATATTTCTTTATTGTCATTTTATGGACATTTCCCCAAAATGTTGTCAGACATATTTGGTCATTTTGGATATTTGACACCAAGACCAATTGTATTTAAGTTTCTTGCATTTAAACAACCTTCTGACAGATCAGTGAGGTCTAAAGAAATGAATTCTTAACCATATTTCAACAATTTGTAAATGGGATTTACTTATTAAGTTTAAGTTTCGCCAGTTGTTGGTTGTAATTTGAGCTTTGCTGCTCACCAGTGGTCAAAGTGACACTATATAAAGACAAGACACAGATGATTAAAGTACATCAGTCGTATTGTGAATCTCTCTGTTTCTTTGCTTATTCTCTTTATTCACCGTCTTGAACATAGGCAGTCATGGAAATCACAGTAACAGCAAGACTGGTGATCATGTTGATGTAGAAAACAATGACGATGAAGATGATGATGATGCGATCAATGGTGGAGATGAAAAAAAGCAAAAACGTTGAGGTGTTTTCACCGTTCTGCAGCCAACCTCGGCAGATGTTGCATCTCTTTCAAACTGATTCAGCCTATTCAATCAATTCTGTCATTCCTGTTTTCTGTCTTTCTTACATCTTTCCGTTGATGTTTCTTTAAAAAATGCAAAAGTGCTGTGAACAACTGACACCAGTAAGCACCTGAAGTCCAGCCAGGGATCCTGCTTTGACTAGCCGGACCGACGGGGCCAGGGAGATGGAGGTTGGGGGAGAAAAGTAAGAGAAGGGAGGATGGAAGTGCAGGAGGAAGGAGAAGAGGAAGAGTAGGAGAAGATGAGGAAGTCTGATGGAAATGTTCCCTTCTCAGTGCTGGATCCTCCTGATGGACTGAATCTGGGGAGTCTGGGAGTGGGAGCCAAACTCACGGTAACACTTGTACTCTCCTCCGCGGCAGTCGCACTCCATGATGTACTGGTAGCCACGGTAGCCAGGGAACTGGTAGCACACAAAACTGCAGGAAAAAACAAGAGCATGCTTATTAAATGCAACATAAAGTTATGTTATGTAAGTAGGTAAAAGTTCCTATAGCAAATGTGTGTACAGTATTTCCAGTCAGAGTGCGTTTTGTTGCTCAGGACTAACTGAAGGTGTGTAAAGCTTCAAATCAAGGATCAGGAAGATGGACTTACGCTCCACCCTGGATTTGCATGGATTGAACCTCGTTGTTCATCCATCCCATGGCCTGCAGAGAGGGGTAGTCATCGCACAGCTCGAACTGACGACCGCTCATGTTCTCCTTCTCGAAGATGGTCATGCGGGACTCCTTGTGGTTCTGTACAAAGGAGAAGGAAATAGGTTCAGCACAATTTGAGATGTAGCTCAGCCTAAAATAAGCTTAAAGGGTTGTAACTCGGTTGAGTGTTAAACATACAGCACAGCAGATGGGCCTGAAGGAGATCATCCTCTCAATGCGGTAGGAGTTGCTGCCACTGTAGGCCTCGAAGCGAGGGTAGTCTCCCTTCTCCAGGACGAACTGCTGGCCGCAGAAGCTGGAGTGCTCGTAGCCCACCCAGCTGCAAGCAGAGAATGAAAAAAAGTCAGGAAACCATAAAAGAAATAGAAAATCAGCACACTTTCAGAAATAAAGTTGCTCCTTTTTTGTTGTTGAGGATTTCAAAAAGTGAGGTTATCTGAGAACTTACGCGCCACACTCGACCTTCAGGGAGCGGATGTTCTCCATACCACACTCCATGATGTTCTGGCAGCAGGCGGTGAACTCCATACGCCTTCCCTGGAAGTACTCCTGATCGTACACGGTGATCTAAAAAAACACGACAAAATGCCCAAGTTAGTCTACAGTTGCCCAAAAATGGCATAACAATTAAAAGTGCCTAATGCTGATGGGTAATGTAGTGTTGGGCGTGTGCTTACCTTCCAAGGGCCCATGGGCATGGGGTTAATCTGAGCCATTTTGTCTAGTTTTTCAGTAGTATCTGTGGAGAAATTCAAAGTAAGTAAGACCCTCGGACAGAAGTAAAAAACCAACCTGTATAATGAATAACAACTTTTGTTTCATCCTGTATGCTGCACTGGGCGGCACTTTAGCTTTCTCTAAGGCTTGTTTCTCACAACAGCATAAAGCTCCTATTTTCTGTCTTTGATTTGTTTTAAAATATGACTCCATTATTTGCAGTAAAGATTAAAAACAAGTCACTCTGTCTTCACTGTAGCTATTTAAGACTAGCTGCTGATATATTGCATTAGAGAGCCTTACATCACTTCCATAGATTGGGAAACTGTGCTGTATTGTTAACTGGTTTGACCTACCCAAACTGGTGAACTGTGTTTCGTAGAGTTCCACTGAACGATCTGCCGAGAAGGTGTGTGTGGGAGTTTATATACACCCATGGGTGACGGGGGCCGGGGGGGCGAGGCACGCTGGACTCATGTCAGCACTTTGCTTTGGACTCCATTGTTTTGTTGTTTGAGCCACAGAGGGGTTAACGCACAGACACACCGTGATTCATGCAAACACAAAGAGGACACACGTCTATACTGCATGGTGGTAAATCTATATGCTGGCAAAAAAACAGGTAGCTTTCTCCACCAGTTTGAAAGTCCAGAGATACAACTGTTTGTGTTTCTTTATGATTTTTTTGTTCATCCAATCTTTTTTTTTTTAGGATTCATGTTTTATTGGGATATTCAGATTAATAAAATAAAATGAAATAACCCTAGTTGTGATATTAGTAATAATAACAATACATGTTATTTATATAGCGCTTTTCCTGATGCTCAAAGCGCTTGATTCATATATTTGAGTTAATACATGAATTTAACCAATCACATGTTTTACACTTGCTCATGTTTATAATAAGGAATTATAAAAAATAAAAAATCTGTGCTTAAAATATTATAACTTAAATATTAGCTTTCCTTCACGTGTAATAAAATGTGTGTTGTATGACGTAATAGTGTGGAGTGTGTTTTTCTCAGTGCTCCTCTTACTCTGTAAGAATTACAAAAATGTAAATCTTCCAACTCATACCCATGTAAACATGTAGATCAAAAGAAAGGTGTGTCTAACAAACAGTACATCACTACAGACATGTGTATTGATCTGTCTAGTAGTAGACCATTTGAAAATGTATTTTTATTCTATCCCGTTTAATTTATTTCTTCACATACCTTATGTTTGTTTAAGTCTGTAGTATGTGTTTTTTTAACATATTTAAAGGATGTCCATCATACCTAAAACACATCAAGTCTGCTTGGCTGTGCGTGATTTTTTATTATTAATGTTTGTGAAAGGACTCAGATCAATTGTGTGTCTACACTGTGTTGACTCATTTAAAAAATGCCTTTCAACCGTAATCTGATTTCCTGAAACACAATACCAAGTTTCTTGATGGCTGGAAAAACAGGATCAATGACATGTACATTGGATTTAAAACAGAAGGACAGTGGCTGTGTTGGATATTGAATCCAACTCTTTAATTGGTCACAGCGAAAATACAGCAATAATTAATTGTGTAAAATAAGAAAGCAAAGAGCGAACAAACAGAAAGCACTGCACAATACACATTTAGGAATGGCTTACATAGGTCAGCACATTAGCCAGACTCTCTGTCTGTGCATGTGTGTGCGTGTGTGTGTGTGTATGTGTGTGTGTGTGTGTGTGTGTGTGTGTGTGTGTGTGTGTGTGTGTGTGTGTGTGTGTGTGTGTATCCATGTAATTCCCTGTGTACCAGAGAGTAGAATGTATAGAAATAATAAGATGAATATTTTGAATATAACATGTTTCTTATCAATATAGATGTATTCAGCTCAGATTGTGTGTGTGTGTGTGTGTGTGTGTGTGTGTGTGTGTGTGTGTGTGTGTGTGTGTGTGTGTGTGTGTGTGTGTGTGTGTGTGTGTGTGTGTGTGTGTGTGTGTGTTTCTGCTGATGATAGCAGCAGCAGCTCAGACGTGACAAAGGGACTAGCAAACTCAGCAGGCCGATGTGAAGAGCCCACAGTGAAAGTGACTCTCAATGAACATAACAACACCTCACTTTCTTATACGTTCACAGACCAACCTGCGGCAGCAACCTCATCTTTAGTAATTGTTGTCATTTTTTTTCTTGGATTGGATTGAGGTTAATTCAGATCAGTGGGGACTGGCTCGATTGAGAGCAGCTTTGTGCATTTCTCCTATTGGCCAATCAGGGTACAGCCTACAATATTATGGTAAACATCTGCGGTTTGCAAGAGATAAATACCAGTTAGCGGTCAATAACCCTGTCTAATACCCACAGTACATCCACACAACACCGTAAAGGTTAGGGCCTTAACAATGTCATGTAATTCACTCATGTGAACTCCAAACTAGTTAAACTGCTGTTACTACTTGCCTTTTTTTTTACAATATATATATTGTTTATATAGTAGGCCTAACTTACAGTATTATACTAAAAAACATCATTACATATAGTCAGTGCAGAGCCATATGTGAAGCATTAATGCAGCTGGAAAAGGACTTCCTGGACGTACTCACAGACCTGAAATCTCCTTATAATCTTAATATATAGGCCACTCTTTGTCTTACTGTAACAGGGGCTTAGCTGGTGTGGCTGCTGTTGCAGCTACAGTTGCTTGGTTATTGTTATCCTCACACACAGGGCCACTGCAGAACTGTGATGGATAGTCATGTGTGACTGAGATCTCCCGTGAGTCATGCAGAGACTTTACATGCATCAGGAAAGACGGAGAGAGAGACATAAATAGGATTAAAACCTCCCCTCAGTTGTTTCCATTCTGCTCTCTCTTCAGCTCCTACCAATGGGTTACAACGGTCTGACGTATTTTATTTACACCGCAGTAGTTATACAGAGAACATATCTATACATCTAGAGGAAATGCAGAGCTGAATGTATCAATGTATTTTATAATATTTGGTTGATGAGGCTGCAGGTAGACCTTTAGGGGGCTAGTTGTATTACAATCAGTGCTGCCAACACATTAGAGTAAAAATACTCCATTACAAGCAACAGTCTTGCATTCAATCCTATAGGAACTAGAAAACAGTACCCTCTGCCTCCTAGAGGTGGTGATATTTTCAATGTACTCTGCAGAGACTGGCCTTTTGGATTCACAGTCTTAAGCCAGGTTTAACCTTTTTTTTCAAGTTTATTTCACGTGATGTATGCAATAAGCCTACTTGTACTCTTTGTAGGCCTGATTCCACCTTTACTTTTTTGTTACACACAACTGTTTTCTTTTGTTTCTGGTGTGATTATCATCCAGGGGGTGTGGCACTTTGACATTGCTTTGGGATCGCATGCTCGGACCCATTATCCAATTGATTTGAAATCCTTTAACCAATTATCCAATCAAAATGTTACACCCGGTTGACCTTATGTGTGTTTTTCTGTGTTCAAACATTTGTCAGTTGGTTTTCTGTTCGCACATCAGTCTTCCCAGTCCCTTGAGGTTTTCTAGAAATGAGACTCACTTGATAGGCCTACATCATTCAGCTCGGAAAGCGTTGTTTCGTAGTCAATGTGACTTTACCTTATAAACCTACGTCTGTGTTTGTTTAACGACTTAATGCTCATGTTTGAATGAACTTTTCGCTGTGTTTATGGATTTAAACAATTCAGATGGCAAAAGGGCCGATTAATTCAAAATGACACTTTCTCATTAATCGCCCATTTCTCATCTGCATGTTTGATGCGCGCATTTTGTCGGTTGAAGCGCAGATTGCGCGCAGCAGCATCCCCCCTCCCTCCTTGACAGCAACGACCATCTGCCGCCTCTTTTTCAATTTCAAACAGCAGATTATTTCCCTGATACTTCCAGCTCCCCTACAAGAGAAACAGCGCCTTGGAGAGCAGCTGCGCCAAAAAAGCAGCAGAGGTCCCCGCGCTCTCCTCACCAAACACTGCGCTCAGACAACCTGCATCGCTCTGCATGCTCAGACACAGACTGCAGGCTCATGAAGACGAAGCGGATTTGAATTAAGCACCGGATAACATACAGCAAGTGTGCATCATTCGGCGAGGGAGGGAGAGAGGGGAGGCAACTGTTTAGTGTCTTGGAAGCCCTGGGTTAGTCAGGGGGAGGAGGAGCGGAGAATGAGCTATTCTTGTACCAGCAGAGGCAACAGCCAGGACCCGGCAACAGCTAAGAAGCCTGTCGGTAACAATCGGGGCAGAGACACCGGAGGCACAGCAAGCAGCGGTAACGGCAGCCCGAAGCAAGCGATGAGGGTTAAAAAAGGCTGCAACTCCACCGAGGTGGTCCCGCTGACCATCGAGGAGGACCTGCACGGCAGCCCGGTGATCACCCCGGAGGATGTTCTGGGCTTGCAGAAGATCACAGAGAGTAAGTTCACTGTCGGTGTTTGGGTGACACTAAGAAGGGCAAAGCTGCTCCTTTATGAGTCATGTATCACGTCATACTTTTCCCACTTATTTATGTAATCTACGGCGGCCCCATTCAAACACATGGTGATGAATCACTGTGGAGCCCCCTCTCTGGGTAATGTTGCTGCATATGTGATTTAAACCTCCTCTGGGTTCATCTCAGCAGCACTGTGACCTGTTACCTGTGTTGTGTCGAGGTTGAGATTAGCACACAATCATGAAGGTGGGTGAGGGGGGCTTTAAACCACCATGTGTGCAGTTTGAAGTGCAATCAGTCAACCCAAATGCAGATGACAGTGGAGCATGCATAATAATAATAATAATAATAATAATAATAATGACTTGGATTTTATAGCGCCTTTCAAGAAACCCATGACTTACTTACATCTCTTGAAGAGCCAGTTGGTTGTATTTCGACGGACGTCTTTGCAGAAATTGATTACAATATGTTTTCATAAGTGTATTTATCAATCGAAACTAAGAATATATGTGTTTTTTGTTATCTTGAAATGATTACTTGATATCTATAGGGAGTTGTTCCTCTTTCTTGGAGTTGGCCATGTTGCAACACAACCAGGATCTAGCTCTAGAGGAGTCCTTTCATGTTTTTACCTTACCTGAAGACCACTTTAGTTTTCCCACACACTTGTTAACTGGTATGCCTATGCTGCTTGAATTGTAATTGTTCCTGAATGAGTGTAATGGTAAGGAATGGATTGCATCTGATGAAGTTAAAGGGCCTCAAAGCGTCACGGTTTTGTACTTGGTGTCCATTTAAAACATCCAGGTGTCAGGTTTGTGTGCACAACTGTTGTCAAAATGTTCTAGCTGAAGTTTTCAGTTGCATTTTGTAGTCATTTACAAGAGCTTTGGATTTTAAATAAGCTTATGAGGAATGTTTTATGGGCATTCACCAACAAGAGAGCAAAAGTGGTACTGTATCAGTAGTAGAAGAAGCATTTACTTGAATAAAAAAAGTGATAAGGTCCATTATTTAATTAGGCAGTGTCAAAACACCCTATTAGCTTATAGGTGAAAGTCTTGCATCCAAAATCAGTAACATGTACTTAGTGTAGTTAGAGTAAAACTATTAGTTGCTGAAAAACAACCTCTTTAATTTGTATTAGTAATATTATTGTTTTATTTTAACAGATATTTTAATTAAATCATGTGATTAGTAATATTCTCTTGTGGGTCAAAATGGAGAAAATTGTATTGTGTTGTAAAGAAGTTTAAGGTCTAACATTGTGCCATTTTTCAGAAGATTATCATTTGTTTTGTAAGATGTTAATCAGAAGATTAACTACTAACAAAACAATGTGTATACACTTTTTTTAATCACAAGTAGAGCTGCTTATTCGCTGATAAACAAACTAATCTTATACGTGTTTTCATAGCTAAGGGCCTTCTCTGCCACTTGAGACATTCTGATTACCATACTGAGTGTGGCTAAAAGCTTCAAATTGCTAATTTAATTGCATATTCATCATGTCATAATGTAAAAGGTGCTGATTATGTAATGTTTTATTTTTAATTATGTCACAGCTCTCAATCTCAACAAGCCTCTTATAGAGAATAACAGGATGCTATAGCGGCTGGGGAGCTGTTATGTGCACAAGAACATCCATCTCCAACATCCATCTCCACTTCAGGTCTTAAACCAGCCGTTAGCTAACAGGTGGCCAGCAGGGCATTCGACTATTTAAAGGCCAGTATAATACCCGACTTGCATAACACGGTTACAGGGACCGATTCAAAACATACTTAGTGTGATAACATGCAGGTGTTATGAGTTCATGTCCCTCTTTACTCAAAAATAGTATATTTTTACCTAATCTTCATCAACAATTACAGCCAAACTGAGTCAAGTTTAGATAAACTTTAATTATATTATGTAGATGCCAATAAGTAAATTATATGCAACCACCATGAAAGCAATACCAATTAAATTAATAAATAGGCCAGTGTCCAGCTAACTAAACCGGCAAACGTAAATTCAGCACGTTTATTTAATGCCAATATGAATATATTTTTCTTATACAGACTTAATTTCCAATTCTCAACTGTATTTAAGATATAAATCAATATGAAAGACCCTGCACAACAACACGGGGTTATCCTTTTTAGCACTTCTCACGTTTCCCCACACACAACAGGATTTTAAAATTGAATATGCTATTATTTGCAATTTGAAATCAGAGTGGCCAGGATGCACTTCTTAAATTCACCTCTTAAAAACATCTTGTCAGCTAATCCTTAAAACCATTAAAAAAAGGAGTGGCCCTCAATCTGTTGGATTCTTGTGGAGTCTGTACTGACATTAACTGTCATTTTAATTGGACTAACCAAATGATGTGAAGAGTTTTGACACTGTCACATGGTTCTGTGAAAAAGTTATTTTCTTACAAACGGATTTCTACATCATGTAATCTATTTCCTATTTTGTGTAACTCTTTCACGCAGCACAAGATAACACAGTAGGTTTACGTAGGGATGAGGAACGAGACTTTGCTCATCCAGTTCAGCATAATCACAGTTTACTGAGCAGAGGAAGAGCTGGGAACATCTTTTGGCTCAGCTTGTTCCTCTCCTCTTTTTCTAACGGTAGCTGTAATGTCTGGTAGCTTCAGCTGTATTTCTACACACACCTGTACAGAACACATGTGCAAGAATCTATGTTTGTGTTTGCTGCACAGCGGAGGTAACACCATAATGACTGTGTCTCCCACGCTGGATCTTATTATGGTCTTAGAAACTCTTCCTTTCCTGTCTGGCGGCGTCATTGCTGCTGTCAAGAGGAGCCATGTCACCACAGCAACGTGGATGCACGCTTGAATCACGACAGCAACGTGAAGCATGTCCCCGTGGTTACAGCGAGACAAGTGTGCATCTCCCACACACCTCTCCCTCTTCTGTCCTTCCTTTATATCTTCTCCTCTACTCAATTTGCTATTACTCTGTAGATTACATGGACTAAAATGGACTGTAAATACACACATGCACATGCTTGCTTGACAGTGTTTGTGTCGCTCAAACAGAGCAAGAAACAGCTTGAAAACACTGAAGCTCCTCTGTTGTTTTGTGACTCGTTTATCTCAGTTTGTTACTGCTGCTGCACATTCTCATGTGGCTCAAAGTGACAAAAACTGAAGAAACTCAGTACAGCCAGGCTTGACAACAGTCCTGAGTTTAAGAAAGCCCTGCTGTTTGAAGCTGCTTCGAGAGCAGAAGTCTCACTAGAGAAACTTCACTTTGTGTAAAGCAAAGTGACTTTCAAAGTAGCCAACAATCATGTTCTGCTCCATCCATCTGTTAATCAAAGCAAGCTGCTGAGATTGAGTAAGATTTGCAAAGATAGAACAGCTTTCTGCTCAGTTTACTCGTCTGATCCAAACTTATGTTCTTATGTGGATCTGATAATCAGGTCAGTGAACACATAACAACCATAACAACCCTCAGCTACATTCAAGGCTTCTTACCATGAATCTCTTACTTGCTTGTATGACTGTTGTTTACCATTCTCTTTATCAAATTACTTGTTTCAACTTTGTGAATTTTACCTGTTTTTTAGATCTTGTGTTGGCTTGTGTCAATAACGCTAAATAGTTATATAAGGAGGACACCTATTCATCTCCATATAAGTTGGAAAGTTTCATAAGTTTTTTTCTCACAATGCAACTCTTTTTTTAACCTTATATCACATTTTTTGTTTGACATTTTGATAAGACAGTGAGCCTATTCATTTTAAACTGACTGAAAACTGTCTGAAATTAGGCCTAAAAACCCACAGCATAACATTTTAAATTGCATAAATCACTTTAAAATCACAGCATCGCTCTTGCAATTGCTAACAATCAGGTTTAAATAAAAAGTGTGATCCTGCTTGCAGGAGGTGAAATCTAGTAACTTTCTAAGACCTCCAATGAGTATGGATCCACCAAATTGCAGCACAAGTTAGACAGACTAAACTAGATTATGAATGCATTTTTGCCAGCAAGTTTGCTTTTAAGCATTTAATATGGTTTCATATGCTAGTGATTTTAAAACCCTCAAAGTTTCTGAGATCTGTGCTGTCCCAGCGTTATCTGGGTGAATGCTAAAACAGGCTCCGAGCTGTTTATTTTGGCTGAATCTAGGTCACATGGTACACTGTGTTTAACTGCGAGTCAATAATCAGTTTTTTTCCATTATGGCATGAACACCTGCCATCTGATTAAAGCGGAGATATTGAAAAGCAAAAATGATTGTGTGGTTCTAGAAACATTGCAGTCAGCAGTAAGCTTGCTATGTTTCCTGACTGTTTCACAATATGGTCTTTACAAACTTCTAGCACACATTAAAGTTGTATAGACTGGTGTAGCCCAATAACCAATATCAGAATCATTGAAGGCCACCTTTAAACCATTTGTTTAAAAACACACCTAAAACCTTACTAAGCAGCATATGTGTTGTTTCCCTGCCATTCGTGTGTGCAGACAGGCTTGACGTGCACATGTACAGTAAGATGCCATAATAAGTGCCAGGTAGAATATTGTAAGTGGAGGTTGATACTTTAGTCCAGCAATGAGGATGTAAAGTCATTGCTGGATGTAGTTAAAACAGGCTGAAGTTGAAGTTTAAGGAAGTGGTTTGCAGGCATACTTTGTTTTTCCAGTAGCATTTGAGTATATCTAGCACTCGCAGCTCAGTTTTGTTTGTTGATAGTTATCTCATTGTGTAACATCTTTAGCTCTGACTGAGGAGACAAGACAAACACTTCACTGCACACTTTGAATTCACAAGGGCTGTCTTTTGGTCTGTCCTTAAAAAAAAACACACACACACGCACACAGAAACACACATTCAGAGAAAGCTTGCGATGTGTTCTGACTAGATGTGTTTACTATCACAGCCCAGCGGGAGTGCTGACTGATAAACTGCAGTCTGTGTGTTGTTTTGTTAGCTTCAAGCAGCAAATAACCCTTAGGTGTGAGTGTGTGCTTGTAACCTGAGGTAAGAGACTGCATGAAATCAATTGCAATCACCCTGATTTTGTGAGACCAAGTGAGAGCACTCACATACAAAATGGACAATTAATCACAACAATAATCATATTACAAATTCCTTGTCCTCATGGGACTTCATTATGAGGCTCAAAGGAAAGTATTAGCTCTTTGTTATCAAAATGAGAAGGAGCTCTGGTTCAGTATAGCTTACACACATGCAGACGTACACACAATAATGCAGAATTGCTATTATGCTACCAGTCCATGCTGACAGATGAAGTGTGTTAGTAATTAAAATGATGTGGCTGCTGATTGTTTGTTATCTGTGTGTGTCTGGATGTTGAATCTTCAGGTGTACGCAGAGCTGGTGAGTAAAGAATAGTCGAGCTCAGCATTCAGACTGACAGAGGAGCAAAGGCCTCAGAGCGTCACAACGAATCAGATTCTCTCTTGTCAGGAACATTCACCTCCAACAGTTAACTCAAGTCGACATTGTTAGGTTTCTGTGCTCCGGCGTGAATACATAAACATGAAAAAGAAAATGTAGAGATAAAAAAATGTCAGGAAACCAATCCTTAAAGTTCTGAAATGTTAGGAAAACAATCAAAGCTTTGAAAGTTTTTGGATATATTTTGGACATGGGTCATTGATAGTGCTTAAATGTATTTAGTTTGAAATAAGAAATACAATTTAATTTGACATCTTTTTTAACTAAGCTGCATTTGATAGTGTATTTGATGTTTAAAAGGTGTCAGATCTAAAGTGCATGCATAAAAACACTTTCATCTTGAATGGTCCTGACATTTTCTTATTTACTTTTCACATTTAGCAACCCTGGTGAACTACTACTAATCTACTACTAAGGTGCACATTTTTTTAAATTATATCCACTAATATTCCTTTTTTGGGCTGCTAGAGATGAGCATGTGTGTTGTTTGAATAGGAATACAAATGATTTCACTGATTTGTGCGATTGATCGAGTGGAGCCATCACTGTTGAAGTGATGATTTACAGGTACATGTGATAAACTATTGATGCAGTAGCTATGATTAGCCACAATCGGGCATCAGTTTGCCCGGTGTATTGCATCAGCTTTTGAATTCAAGTACAGTAACACTGTATTTATTGTTGGTAGGAATGTAAGTAACATAAGATAGTGACTTAATCAATTCAGCAAAAACATTTCCTATTTAGGTAAAATTATGGCAAACAGAACTGCTCGAGATCCACAGATCGGAGGGGATCATGAAGAACAGCTGGTGGGTTGATTGGCCATCGTTAGCGATTAAATGATCCCTCACTGTACCAATATAAGTCTATTTTTCCACAGCTATGTTTGTGATTGAGTGGCCAGATAACAACCGCCTTTATTGTAACATCACAATAGAAACAAAGCAGATGGGCATTGTATCTGATCGCACACATTCACTGACTTTCTCTCGTGGCTGCTCAGACCTGCAGGATCCACAATTTCAAATCCCTGAAACAACGTTATCCCAAGTGTATTTTTAACTGTAACCTTCCTCCGTGTGAGTGGTGTGTGTGTGCTGGTGTCAGTGGAGATGATGGAGATGTTGCAGTTACACCTGCAGGCCTGCATCATCGGATCAGGCAGAAACAGGAAGTGTCTGCTCCGCTGGGGAACGCTAATAAGCAATGACACTGCCTGGTGAGGGCAGGAAGGATTACAGGAATAAAAATAACTTGCGCTCCGCTTTCTTACTGACTGCATGCATGCGTGTGTGTGTGTGTGTGTGTGTGTCTGCTGTGTCCTATTTGTGGGGAAATGAATCCTCTAAATGAGTTTAACATTGAATTGCATGTCAAACATTCACATGAAATCATCACAGGGAGCTTTTTAGTACATGAGTCGGCTGTCAAATGGAGAGGATTAGAAACTGCAGTAAACTGGATTGAATGCACCTTATTCTTTGAATATAATGTTCATTGCTGCAGAGCTGTTTAATTGTGTGTGTGAACAGTGTATATTCAGAGAATTATTTAAGATCATTGTTTTTTAATGCCAACTGTCCATCATCTACATTATCAGCTCAAGTTACCATCAAGTATAGGGGTTTAGCACTCACAGTTCTCACCTAAGTACATTCTTTATATTTATATCTCTCTTTCAGATTATCTGTGCGGCCCAGACGAAAATGTGTTCAGCATCGACTTCACCAGGTTCAAGATCAGAGACATGGAGACCTCCACCGTGCTGTTTGAAATCACCAAACCTCCATCTGCAGGCGAGTCACCTATGGATTTCTTTCACATAATCTATATTTACTATCAAAATACAGATAATCAAAGCAGCCTCTCACATGCAGCCTTCACACATCAACTAAACTAATCCATCAACTTCGCACTTTTAATATGTTTCTACTTATTATGGTTTTCTGGGGTGTGTTGATATATTTGTTGCAACCTGTTTGTGGGAAAAGGCTCATGTCCAAATATGAATTACATTTCATTTTGTTTCTGTACCGCACCAACTGCTCTCAATTCAGACAAAGCAGGGGATAAGAGGGATATGGACCCAAACGCCGGCCGATTTGTCCGCTACCAGTTCACGCCCGCTTTTCTCCGACTGCGGCAAGTTGGAGCCACGTAAGTGAGAACGTGTGTTCATCTTTATTTAGAAAGATCTGTCCTCTGTCTCAGTTTCTTGTTCTGTCTAACTCGCCTTTTTTCTATCCGTCTGTCCAGCGTTGAGTTCATGGTCGGAGACACGCCAATAGAAAACTTCAGGATGATCGAGAGACATTATTTCAGAGACAAATTGCTCAAGAGTTTTGACTTTGAATTTGGCTTCTGCATGCCGAGCAGCAAGAACTCCTGCGAACACATTTACGAATTCCCCCCTCTGTCTGAGGACACAAGTAAGTCTATTCGGTTGTTCTTTGATTTATAAATGAATTGGAATGAATATCCCTTTTTTCAAAACTGTTTTGGATTAGTTATTTTTTTATATTGAAACCTAGCTGCAGTGAATATATACAAAATAAACACTTTTCCAATAGGTTACCTACATCAGAGCAGATATGAGTACTATTCATGAACGTTTTCGTTATCCTATATTCGTTATTAAAGATTCATTCATTTCAACTTGAAGACATTTGTGCGATTTGCTCCTCCTATACATATTTTGGTTCTATGTGGTTAGGAACTGGTTCTCATGCTTCTTCCCAATCAACTATCTGGGGAATCGGTACCGTTACTGCTCATTTAAAGATTGCTATATCCAGAAAGGGATTACAACAATTCCTGTGGGACATGAATGTATTTAACATCAATAATGCCAATCCAGTGTTAATTTGTTTGGACATTTCCTTTAAAAATTCAAAATAAATTCCATCCTGCAAAAATGGACCCATGAAAAATGTGGTTCTCAGTGCTTGTGCAAATACGTTTGAGTCTACCTACCCACAAACTGTGAAATAAGAGTTATAATGTTGGGCTGTCTTGGTCAAACACATTGGCTTCAACATGCCTTTCTGATTTGGCTCCCCTTCTTACATGTTTGTCACGTGCAGGTTCATTAGAAAATACTGTGTTGGGAACCAGTGCTCTAACAGCAGTGTTGTTTGTGTGTCTGCTCTCAGTCAGAGAGATGGTCCTTCACCCGTACGAGACGCAGTCGGACAGCTTCTACTTTGTGGACAATAAGCTGGTGATGCACAACAAGGCGGATTACTCGTACAACGGCGGGACGTAGAGACGACACGCTGACACGAGAGACCCGCACTGACCTGAGGGACGATCAGAGCCCACTGGTGGGGTTAACATCCTGTCTGTCCACTAGTCCTGTCTCCTTTTAGTTATCTCTTTCTCCCGCGGTGAGAAAACCATCCAGAAAATGCTCATACAGTTGTGCTCTGTGTGTGTGTGTGTGTGTGTGTGTGTGTGTGTGTGTGTGTGTGTGTGTGTGTGTGTGTGTGTGTGTGTGTGTGTGTGTGTGTGTGTGTGTGTGTGTGTGTGTGTGTGTGTGTGTGTGTGTGTGTGTGTGTGTGTGTAAGCACATGTACCTTTGGTCAAGCCTAAAAAAAAAGGCCACACACACAGAGTTCTCAGCTTGGTGTGGCATCGCTGTGACAAGATGTTTTTGTAACATGATAAACCAGAAAATAAGCAACTTTTCTCTAGACACATAATGTAAAGTAAAATATGTATAGAAATTATTTTTTACATGTGTGTATGTTTAAGGACTAGGAACATATATTGCTTCTGATAAGGTGTGTATTTAAGACTTTAGTAACAGTTTGGGGGTTGTTTTGGTCAGGATTAATGTGTGTTTTTGTGCTTTTGTATGTCTGTCAGTTTGAAGCATGATTACTGGTCTGGTGAAACTTTATTATCTAGATGTTAATAATGTGGTCATCTAGTTTGCAAAGGTTAAATAGATTTATAAAACCTGCATCTTCCACACATGTATCAGTAGTACGTGCATCAGACCTGTTTCCTGTTTCCTTCTCACTTTGTCCTTTAGTGATTATGCGTGACATGTGTTAGCCGTACGGCGTATATATTTATTGTCTTTGCTCATAGCATATATTTTTTGCACACCTTTAAACAAGCCAACAAATTGGAAACTTGTTTAGATGAGTTGACTGGATATGTCATATGTTGAATGTTATGTCAAAAAATGTAACACAGATGTGTAGTGCAAACTTATTTATGACTGATTGTGACTCATGCAATTATTTTGGACGGATGTAAAGTTTTCGACGACTCAATTGTCAATATGAATGAGGAAAAGTGAAATAAATAAAAGCGTATGAGATTTTTTGGAAATATCACGGTGTCTTGATGTTATTGTGATAATGGTGTGAAGTGAATAATATAGAGTTCACATGAGGATGCTTTTAATTTACAGAATTCAAACGGTTCTGGTAAATAAATGTGGTAACTCACGTTACTTTGATGGGACGCCTTGTCTCTACTTTTCCGTTTATTGCACTTACCTGCTATGAACACAGTAGATATTGACCTTCACCTGAATCATGTCTCGTTGGCAGACTCTTATCTCCGTGTTATTCTTCAACCAGCCTTTCATCTCTATCACTGTACACAATATAAGTAAAACGTTTGATTTGTGCGCTTCCCCGCGCTTGAACTTCCTTAGGGCTCGAGGACGTTTGGACTTTTGCCAGGAATAGTTACACATTTTGAGGAATAGGCTCCCTTCAGCACCTCTGATGCTCACTCATTAATTTGTTATATTCGTTTGTTTCATCTGTACCAAAATAACAGCAATTTGTGATACTATTTTGCTGATTCCTTGATTATATTAATTGTATTATTTTAAAATCTTATTATTAGGCCAATTAAAGCTTTGGCATGTTGTCTTTGTTAAAGTCATGCAAATAAAACCAACACAAACATGTTTTGTACAATACGTTCTGCTCCCAGACAAGAAACAAATCTGGTGCATAGTACATTTCAACGTGTACTTTTGTACTGAGATACTAAACAACATACATGTTAATTATTAAGTTTTAGAGGTACATTATGACAGCTCGGTTAAATGTCCCAAAATGTTAATCTTTTAGATGAATAGCTCACCCATGTTCATCTAGAGCGTATCTCCAATTTTATTTTCCCTTGGAGGAATACAAATAATCACAGAACATTAAGAAATGTACAGTTAATGCTTGTTCACATACAGTCAGTGTGACAAAAACACTGATAAAAAATAAAAGTGCAACAGAAAACCAAGACTTTAGGGTCCAACAAAAGAACTACAGTAATAAGTTAAATCTACTGATACAATTAATTCATCTCATTTACATATCGTCTGTAAACATCACTCAGAATAATTACATTTGAAAGAATCAATCAAACACACAGTGTACTGCATCTTTGCATCATTTGTGAGTGATAAATAGATCAATAATATGACGTCACATTCAGGGAACTGTGTACAATACAAGTGACCTCAGTTATTTTTCCTAATGAACACTTCATTTGTCCTGACACGAGGAAGTACTAGAGGGGAGAGTCTGTCTAATAATAGACCTCAGAGTCGATAGAGCTTCAATCTTATCTCTGTTATCTCTCTTTTTGTAAATCAATCACCGTTTTGCTCTTCACCAAGGTCGTGTTTTATAGTCGTAAACCTGTGTAAAAGTGTGTGGTGCATAACTGTTAGGTTAAACTTGGTCTAAATATTATTTTTCTTTAGATAATCTTTAAACCTTTTTTTCTTTACCACATAAACTGTAAACAACCTTTGATTTGCTCTTCTTGTACTTTCCTTCTGTAATAATCAAAGCTTATGCTGCTTTTTCTCTTTTTTCTCGTTGAATCAATAATTTACACTATTATAAAGAAACACTTTTGAAAACGTTGCTGTTTTCAGCTGTTCAGTACTCAAGGTTTACTATTTGTAATGTTGACCCAATGAGGAATGTTTCCCATGTCAAACATGGCATATCCCCAGGTGTTGACGCCTAAATTAACAGATAAAATCCCGATGATGTTCAGCATGAAGCCGGCTTTCACCTAAAGGAACAGACAGTGACATAGAAGTTTAAAAACCAGGGTGCTGTATGTACAGGTCTGAAAAATCTAAAAAGCAGCAATACATTTACCTTCTTAGGGACCTTAGCGCTACAAGGACTTTTATACTTTTATAGGACTTTTTTAAGTCCTATAAACTTAAATCAAAGACTCAAAATATCTTCTTAAATCTTAATCTGGTCTATCCTGCCAAGATGTTTTTCTTAGTCTATGTGAAGAACACTATCCTCCTCCTACCTCAACAAAGACTCAAACATTTCACTATCTTCTTGTAAATAATATCCTCTAAACTTCGCTCACATTAAAAATTCTTGCAACAAAGATTGTGTATTGTGTAAATGCATCTCACCATGTCTATGACTTTGAGTTTTCCAAAAGCGAAGGCGATGGCGTTGGGGGGGGTGGCGACCGGCAGCATGAAGGCCAGGGAGGCGGCGATGGTGCAGGGCAGCATCACGTACAGCGGGTGAATCTTAATAGCTACGGCCTATTATCAGAAACAGAGCAGAGTTAAATACATGTAGAAGCTGTGTGTTAGCGCCTGTGTATGCATGTGGACGTCTGTTTACCATGGAGGCCAGGATGGGCAGGAACAGGGTGGTGGTGGCCGTGTTGCTGGAGCACTCGGTGAACGTGGCCACCAGCAGGCTGAGCACCAGCGAGATGGCGAAAGGTGGTATTTGCTCCAGAGGGGCCAAGCAGTCTCCCAGCCACTTGGACAGACCCGACTCCTGTAAATCAATCAATGTTTATTTATATAGCCCAATATCACAAATGTTACATTTGTCTCAGTGGACTTTACAGTTTGTAGAGAATATCAATACGACACCCTCTGTCCTTAGACCCTCACATCGGACAAGAAAAAACTTCCAAAGAAACCCCACAGTTAATGGAGAAAAATGGAAGAAACCTTGAGGAGAGCAACCGAGGAGGGATCCCTCTCCCAGGACGGACAGACGTGCAATAGATGCCGTGTGTAAACAAATGGTTTAAGCAGAAAATACTTGAAACTCCTCACATTTACAAAATTTGCAATCATTTCTTGCCGAATAAATAGTAATAGTCATCAAAACTAACATTTAAAGCTCATTAAAGAATGGGAAGTTTGAACAGATAGATATGGTTTTGATGTGGGGTTGGGGTCATCCGCAGTTTGTAAAAACAGAGTACCAGGATGGAAGTGAAGCATGCACTGCTGTGGACAAGGGCAGCAACACATATTTTAGCTGTATAAATAAATGACCACAAAAAGAAATCAATATCAGTTTATGTGTACGCTATATTTACAGCTTTAGACCAGCAACTCATGATTTGTTAGGAAAAATGACTAATTGTAATCACAGCAAGGTTGGATAAAGTGGTGAAAACGTTCCAAAATAGCTTACACTTAAAGTGATTATGATTTTTTTAGGTGGACCTTTTTGCAGGAGGCTCAAATACCTTCTGCCCCTGCCCACTGAAACACATGCTTTACTTCCGTGCCATAAGGACTGTCTGCACTGCAGATATCCCTACCGCCATCTTCGGTCAGTACGGATAGGTACCTCGTACAACCACACTCAAAAACATCAGAACTATCCACTTAAAAGTAGAAAACCCAGTGTTCATGAATGTTTACCTCGCTGCCAGCAGCCAGAGCGAAGCCTCCTCCCAGCAGCAGGATGATGTTCCAGGGCATTCGCTCGTGGACAACCTGCCAGCTCAGCAGAGTTGGGGGGCTATTCACCGTCTGACCTGTTAGATGAACACCAAGCAAACAGTCATACGTAGCAGTGACATATCCACTGTGTAATCATTACAAGTACAAGTTGCACCAATGAGATGAAGATTGAGTTACAGGAACATCATTATTTGGGATTTTTGTCATTAGAGGATTACCATTTTCGTCGGTACCGTAGCCTCCACACCGAGGCCTCTGGGAGGGGATGATGAAGAAGAGCATCGACATAAAGATGGCGACGGTTCCATCTGACACAAACCTGAGGGATGCAAGGCAACATTGTTCAAATATTGTGGGTTAAATATGTTGCTGCCATGTTTTCTGTGTTGAAAATGTGTGTCGACACTCAAACTAACTAAACTTCTTTATCAAGAGACCAAAATATTTGACTGGCGTACCAGGGTTAAGGAGTTTCTTCACACTTTGATGGAATAAAGAGGGGTCAGAATAAATTAAATAAAACTAAAAGAATAAAAGGATGCAAGAGAGAAGATTCAATTATATTGTCAACAAACTCTGTAAAAAGACCAAAACCAACAACTTGATGGTCTCTCTCTAAACGATTCCCAACCAACCCAACCTGTTTGTAGCACTCAAGACGGACTTCTCTAAAAATGGTTACTGAAAACAGCTGGATGCTGAAGTTAGTTATTGCTACTCTATTAAAGTAATCAAGAGTATGTGGTGTATTTGTTAGGGATGTTTTTCAGCTGGAGATTTTAATCTTTTTATTCACAGCAGCACTAAAGTGTATGTAGTATCGACCAATAAGTGGCCATGTTCTTTATAATAAAGGAACACGTCACCCAGCGTGTCCCGCTTATATGTTTTTAATAGTTTTTGGACAACAATGGAGGTGTATGACACAGAGAAATAATGATTTATCAGACTTTCTTTCTGATCTTTGTTGACAATAAGAATAATGTATGATATTAGCACATTTAAGGTTTAAAAGCATGCCAAAAAACATAGGAAAGAAAAAGGAATACTCACGGTCCCCCTTTATTGAAGAGCACAGTTGCCCAGCCGTCGATGAAGCCCGGCTCCCGGCTGAACCACAGGACCACCAGCAGGACGAAGATGATGAGCACGGCCCACTCAGCAAACCTCACGCTGCCCAGCTTCTTGTACTCCTGCCTCATCACCTTGTACGCCTCCTTGTCTCTGTCGTTATTCACACCGCAGCCAAATGACTTCTTCAGGCTGAGGAGGAAAGAACAAAGATACCGTCAACAAATCAGAGAAATGTTTGAAGATTTATAAGTATGTCATACAGTAGGTTCAGGGATCGGGTTCAACTTTAAGGTTGAGCAATCCATGGATTGACGTTTATAAAAGTGGTGTCATTAAATGGGATACCAAGTTTGGTCAGTTTCTTTACCTCAAAAACTCTTAATTGACAGTTTTACTGCTTAAAATAAAGGCGGTAAAACAAATTGTCTTGACGAAACAATAATACATTGGGAAAGAAAACGTCCTTATTATTGTAAGACACATTTACATAGCAAAATACCACGAAAATGCAAGCAGGACAGTTGTCTTACTTGAACCCCAGGAACATAAACAGAAGCCAGAAGTATGCCAGCACCAGCATGATCAGCGCGTTGGGGAAAGCAAAGCCAAACCAGCTGGCAAAGTTGATCACATCCCCGTTCCCAGGGAAGAGCCTTCAGAGGAGGAAGACAGAGATATGAGAAGAGGAAAAGAGGGATAAACAGCTGAAATAATATCCCTCTGTGTTTTTAATAATGCCTTACTTGTCGATTTGACCCTTAAGGATGATGTTAGGGGTCGTGCCGGTGAGTGTAGCCGTTCCTCCGATGCTGGCAGCGTAACACACACTCAGACTCATCCCTTTGGTCAGGAGAGTGTACTTCTCATCCATCACTCTTCTCTTGGAGTCCTGCAGTGACTCTGCACTCAAGCCATTTTCACCTGGAGCCAGAGACATTCAGTAAGTTAAAGTTATTGGAAAGTGTTCATTTCACATGTTTTCAGACACTTTCAAAATGAAAAATAAGGAATACAAGATTACTGCTACCAAAAACTACTTTAAAATTGAGCTGTAATCATTTTTTAGATTGTGTAATGACAAAGAGTACAACCGAATGCATGTTCTTTCTTTTGTGCTGTTTATGAACCAATATCCAAAACTGACAATGGCCACTTAATATTTATTTTATATTTACACCTCCAAACGTTATGTTGAGAGTTCATGATAAAAAATGTCTCTACATAATTAATACAAGTACTGATGAGATACCAAAAGGTGATGTAGAAACAGTGCAGACCACTGATTGGTGGAGAGAGAACAGTCAAAGCACATGGGACATGCTGCACAAACACAGCATTTGAAAACAGCAAAATACCATTATAGCAATAACATGTTCTTCTTTTTACTGGACCACATTTCAAATCAAGTGTCAAATCTACACCCAGCACTACTCCTTACAATTGAGGAAGTGCAGACAATCCTATGAAAGGATTAAGCTAGTCTCCCAACTGTATTGGGATAGCTGCTTAACGAGTAGTTGAGTTGGGGAAATTAGAGTTGAAGCATCCAATGGAAACACATATTTTACTTACACTGTCCATTGTCCAGCTGAGCCTTGGTGTCAGGGTGTTTCTCTTCACTCATCTCCTGTTTACTTTTACTAATCTCAAGCTCAAACGCCTGGTTGTCCTGAGCTGCGGCCTGGAAGTCCCGCTCGTCCGCCTGGGTCTCGGTGGCCTTCAGCTGCTGCAGCACGGCCGAGGCGATGGGCAGCATCATGGCCGTGGTGGCCGAGTTACTGATCCACATTGACAGGAAGGACGAGACGATCATGAAGCCCATCATCAACCTGCGTGAAAGGAGAGTGAAAGGTAAAATAAGGATCTTTCGTAGATCTGTTTTGTTTTCTGTTTATTGCAACCTGTTTCTGTAATTGAGTTTTTCATAAATTCTGCACATCTTTTCAAATGGATGAGCTGTCGTCTTTGTTTGTTTTTGTCTAGTCATGATGCGTGTGTTTTCAAAAAGGGGACATATGCACATGGAGTGTTTTCCTCCTGCCTTGGTCAGAACATTTGGGATTCAACAAGATGTTCAGATTTAGCTCAACTTTCTCTGTCAAGTTCCAGTAGAAACCAAAAATATGAAGTATAAAGTATGAACCTGAAAATGACAATGTTATGTCTTCTTACAGTGAATTGACGTTAAGAATTATTAGATGTTTGTTGTTTTTACTGTTAATGCTTTTTTGTTCTTAAGGAATTATTAATCGTGTGAATTCATAGATATTATCTTGAAGATGCGCATAATATCATGAGACCTGCTGAATGAAGGATTTGTGTAACAACTTGAGCATTTCTGACCTCTAAAATCACTCTGAATAAAAACCACAAAGATCCTTGCAGGAATTGTTGGCATTTTGGTCACATCTTGTTTTGTCTGCTGTGAGGTGCAGAGGTGAGTTATATAACTTTCTTACAGGGCGGGACGGACGCCGACCAGCAGCAACACTCGGAGAGCGATGCGGGTATGAAGGCTCCATTGCTCCACAGCGATGGCCACCAACAGGCCCCCAATGAACAGCATGTTAGAGTCTTTCAGATACTCAATACTGACCTGAAACACATCACACAGACACTCACTTTATCAAAAGAATCAAGCATTTAAACATGGGCAAAACAAACAGTACATCATTTGACCGGTGTAATAAACTGTGAACATGCTGGCCTGTACATCATCCAATTTGTTTTATGAGCTATAAAAGACACTGGATCAGCAGATGTAACAATGACGGTGCCGTCTCTGCACAGTGTTCTAAAAATGTATCGAATAAAGGTTAACACTTTCAGACAGAGCTAATTTCCTGTTTTATTGAACTCTATTTGTTTCTGTTCTTCTGGTGTGCTTTTGCTGTTCTTTAGCTGATCCTGACCTTCACAATTACCTACAGTTGGTCCAATTTATTCTCTCCTATTTTGTCATTGCCTGCCTGCAGTTTGAGAGGCAGAACAAAATATGCCTTATCTCTTCTCCTAACCCTTTTTATTGACCTCAAAGAAAAACGTCATGGGAAACATGTATAGCAGAATTGATAAGATAACCCAACTGTATTTATTATAGCTAGATATTGTGAATGGAGACATTTCTTTCAAGCAATATCTTGTTATATCTCATAGAAATTAGTACAGTGACAAACTCAACTTTCAATTTATAGTTTACAAATAAACTGCAATAGAAGAATACCTTGAACACTACATTTTCTCCGAAGTATCTGAGAACCTTTTAGTGATAATCAGCAGTATATTCCTACAGGGGTCAGAACTTGGAATATAATGAAGTACAAAAGATGAAATAAGGACTTTACATCTGCAGCCTTCATGATGCCCATCATAGGGAAGAGGACGACCGGCAGCAGTGCGGTCACGGCCAGAGGCATGCACTCTGTGCACCAGTACAGAGCCATGAGGATGATCGCATAACCACATTTGGCTTCCTGTAAACACACACACACGCAAACACATCAACAACACTGGTGTCAGAAGAAATTGGTGGGGAGGTAAAAGTGTTCAGAAGAGACAATCTGAAAATTAGTAAGATATGGATACAGATGTTGAACAAAGACAAACAAACACACACATATACGGAGATGTACACAACCTTATAAAGTCCATACAGTGTTTATCATCCTCTGTCTTATCTGCAGCCTCACTTTAAAAGGTAATAATACTTTACACATGCAGATAGCAGAAAGCGTTGATCGTAAAACAGACAATTTGTCATGCTCTTGTCTCACGATACAGTTCTTTATTGGTCCTCCGTAAAATTACAGAGCGTTAAAACTACCCGACACAAAACTTTCCACTGCCAATGTTCGAAACCCTCTGAGCTCCTCACTACTAATGAAAGATGCTGCTTTTAAAACGTTAATACACAAGGTATCATGTGAGAGGTCATTGCTGCAGCACACTGCAACAGTAGCATGTTTGCTTTACTTACTTTGATACTGTAATATCCTTTACTATTAAAACTCTTACGTACACTTTTAACATAAAGTCATTTTTTCATTAAATAGGCGTTTTGAATTATATTCACCATTACCCTTCTTCTTAGAACGTTACTGGATACAAGTAATCAACATTTAACTATAATAATCATGATTACTATTATTTTGATTTGTTATTTTCATATGTTATAGCCATTTTACATCAATAATTTCAAAGCAGTTTATTATGGAACCATATGAAATCTAAAAAATGCTAACATAGAAACATAAAGATATGTTTACAGCCACAGTACAGTGGTTTAGCCATAGACTAGAAGATCCTCAGTGCCTTTGTGTTTTGCTCTCTGATGCCGTCATCCCATCTTTTCTTGACTTTTCAGCTTTTCTGTAGGATTTGTCTTTATTGGCTCTTTGATGTCCAATGTGGTTTGACATTAACTGCTCATTGTGCACACTTTTACCTTTGTCTCTCCTTCATCATAAAGCAACGATCCTTGAATACAGTCCATAAATCAAGACAAGCACATGAACATGCTGATTGATGAATTATTTTAGTTTCAGTATTTAACACATAATGGTTAACATGGGGCACACTATCAAAAGGTCATTGTTTTTTTGCTAATCCTTTTAGGAATTTGACCCTAATCTTTCTTGGCATACAGTTATTTAGAGTGGAGTCCTGATGAGTGATTAATGAACTACAGAACAAATAGCCTGCTTTCTTGTGTTTTAAGTTAAACCTTACCTTACATGTATCTGTGGCATGTGCTTAATGCCACAGATACATAAGACAGATTGCTAGTTACTGTATAGTAGTGTGTACGAGAAGTATAAATTCAGGGGAAGAAGTTGTGTAAAACATTTTTTATCAGTCAAACCCCCCACTAAAGTTTAAGAATTGAGGTTCTTTCAATCTAGACAGTCAATACCGATTCAAACCATTCACTTAGTTAAAAAGTTACCTGTGTAGGGATGACGAGTGGCAGAGGAAGCAGTGCCAGCGGAAGGACCACGATGATGATGTAGTTTCTGTGGTACCACATCCACCTTAAACAAATATGTATAGTTCTCCTGGAAGATCCCATGATTGAACCAGGGGAGAGTGAACTATCCACAGGGTCAAGACTTATTAAATTGAGCTAAACACATACGTCCCTCACAGAGACCCACTGAGGTAATGAGACTAATAAACCTGCAAACAGACCCTTTATTTCTCTTGCGGCTTATCAAACATTAACTCAACACCAAACGGATCACACTCATTGGCAGATGAAGCGATTGAGAAAGAGAGGCAGGCAATATTGGAAGAAAGAGGTGGAGGGACTGACAGATGAGGGGAATGATAGTTTTATCACCTATAGGAGAACAGATTTGTGGAGTGTTACCAAATGTCAGGGATGTGTAGCCTTGTGAAGAAAAGGATAAATGTTACTTCTTCTTTTTCAGGAGTACTAATGCATATTTGAATGTGTTCATTTCCTGTTGTCCTTTGAGTCTGTATGGAAGTGATGCCTTCTTTAACGCTAAAGTACTGAGTCTCCTGTCTGCATAATAGAGTTGCCTTAAACTAAAGAAACCTTGAACTTTGGACTTTGAACCCAGAGTCTGCTATAAGTTCTACAAAAGCTTCACTTTTAGATAAACCTAGGAATCAACAAAGATCACTTTAAGAAAAATGTCATGCACTTTATTGTTTCTTTCGAATGAGAGAAAAAACGGTTTGTCTCTCTTTGTTGGTCTGACACGTAGTGGCAGGTTTGTGTAACTTAAAAAAGAAAAGTTATAATCCATAAATATTTACTATTCACTCCACTAACATGGATTTTGCTAATGCAAAACGTTACTTAGTCTGGTATGAGACTGCTAGCTTATGGTGGCTAACATGTTAGCAATCTTGCTGTGTTACAGTCATTATTGAGTCATTTTCCCAGTTGTATTACTCTCCTCTCAATGGGCTGCTGTTACACGGTTTGAGCATTAATATCATCACAGTTACACACCAGAAATAGTTTGATACAGCTGATAGCCTTTAGCTTAGCACAGACTCTGGAAACAGCAAGCCACTTTATATCTTCTTTGTTTAATATATACAAAAATCAAAGTTTAAAATTTGCCATTTTCTGATAATAAACCTAACCCTGTAGTATTTAATGAGCTTACACAACCCCCCGGAAACCACTGTGATCTCTCTGAGCTTTTATATCCTACAGTTCATGTGTGAGACAAGGTCAGAGAAAAGCCTCAATTAAGTCATAAAAACAAAAACAATTAAAACAAGTGATTATGTCCTATCATGGAAAGTAACACAATTTCGAGACTGGTGTTAAGTGAATAAATTGTTTTACAAAGTACAAAGAAAGCTATTACAGTTGCATGTACATATTTCAATAAAACATATACATGGCACTGCATTGATGGGGATCTCTCTAATCTATAACTCATGGCATGTGTTTTCTTCTTCTCGTTGAACACGAGAAGTCATTTCCTGTGGCTTAAGCAGTCATTTTTGAAACATTTTTTGTAATGTTTTTAAAGAGCTTAAAGGTTTGGTGGTCATCGTAACCCAGTCCCCTTTTCTTCACAAACCGCTGACTCGTTCAATGACTCGATTAATATTTGACATTTAAAGGTGCATGCCAATCAAATATAAACAGTGGACCTTTAAGTTGCTACATAACTTGCTATATAAAGAATTATGAAAGGAGAATAGATATACAAACTTGTATTTATGTCTATATCTTTTATTTCTCTGGTACAGGTTGTAATAATTCATCACTCATTACATTTCCTCATGAAGTGTCTGCACTGAAACAAAATGTTCCCTGTTTCCACAAAACCTGGTTTGTTACGTTTTTTTGCACTATATTCAATTGGGTTTTTAACATTTTTATAAATAGTTTTAAAATCTGTATTTTTTTTAAAAGTGTAATCCATTACTTTACCTTAATCTTAATTTAATTTAATTGTTATTGAAACTTCTCATCTTCAACCATATTGACATCATATTTATAAAATCAAGTAGGGTGCAGGCCTCACCTCACCTCCTTGAGATAGATAATAATAATCAATATGTGTGTGTTCCTTTAAATGATCTTATAACATTGTATTAGATTAGATATCAATATGTTAATATCCTCCCTCACTGATACAATCACCACTGAGAAATCAAAGTCCACCTGCCCTAATACTCACCACTTTCACTGCACTCCACTAAAACAAATACTCTTTTAAACACCACTGACTCACTTCCCTGTGCTTCTATTAAAGTGTAGAGAAAAGCTAAGATACCAACGTTTTTAGGCTCTTTGACAGAGATGGTTAGTTTCCTTTTATCAAGCAAGATCTTTTACTGTTTAACTGATTGATGACGAAGTAATACTATCTCTTCAATGTGTTTAATATTTTCAGCCTCTAGGTCTCTCCATGGTGCTGAATCTGATCATCTATGTCATAGTTTTTTTTTTAAAGAACAGGCACTCCACATATTAGAAATATATCTTGTATTTTTGAATAGCAACTCTCGTTATCAAGGCTACATTTGGAAAAAGGCATTGTGTTTGCTTTAGGGTTGTTTTTTTCCATGACAGATCGATAAGAGGAAAAAAAGACAACCCTGGTTACACAATGTTTGAGCTCACATTCTCATTCCCTCATTTTACCAGAAGTTACATTTAGTTTACAGTATACACTGACTTTAAGAGACAAAAATACCTTTTCACAGCAGACAATTTGATAAGTCATTGTAGGAAAAGCACATGCATTGCAAATAGCTTCAAAGATGGCTGTAATATTCAAACTTGCCAGTGAGTGTGACATCATGCATGAAACCAGGAACCTGCTACAAATAAATGTAACCGTAATTAATGTGTCATTAGACCTTGGCTTTACTGTTACAAAATGGTCAAAATGTCTTCATTCAAAAATGCTCACAGCACACTTCTGTTGTTTATTGACTGGTTTACAGTTTTACATTTCAACACTTTTCCTAACTAAAAAGCCATTCAGTCTCTCATTACAATAAAAAATAATCCATTTAGTTGGATTATCTTAATAAACTGGTGTTGGGTGTTGAATTTACCACACAACTGGAAAGTAAGTGTGTATATTCTGTGGCCTAAAGAGATCATGCTGATGTCGGGCTGATGTTTCTGGGACAAGAGGTCAGACGTCACAGTTTAATGATTGTCACAGCCGATGGTTGACCAATCAGGAAAGCAGACGCCTGGGGGTCAACAGCTTCTGATAAATGTCTATTGATCATCTGCACACAATGCTGCACCCCAAATTGGGGCACTCAAACTCATCTGAATAGTTCAATAGAGTAAGGGGCCCAGTTGTGGTCGGAGTTTGATTTCTTACATTTTTTGTTTGTTATTTAAAGAAGGGATATTTTCTACTGTGAGTCGGCATGAAGCCAGCAGTGGCTCTACTGGGTCTCGTCCTCCTGCTGGACGCCACCTTTGCTGCAGAAGGTAAATCTTCAAGATTGACTTTTATAATTAAAGTTCTTAAAGCTAAAATGTCTTATTAATAATATTATTTGCCACCTGAAGTAATAAACTTGGTTTTCACTGGTTGATGCTAAGTTACCCACATGGGTAAGTTAATAATGAGATAAAACAATTGTAGAATGTTAACTTACAGTTCTGGAGTTAGTTTTAGTAATAAATGTTGAGTTACCTTTCTAGAATGTTGAATTACAATTCTAGAATGTTCATTTACAGTTCTAGAATGTTGAATTAAAATTCTATAATGTTGAATTACAATTCTAGAATGTTCATTTACAGTTCTAGAATGTTGAATTAAAATTCTAGAATGTTGAATTACAATTCTAGAATGTTAATTTACAGTTTTAGAATGTTGAACTACAATTCTAGAATGTTCAATTGCAGTTCTAAAATGTTTTATAACAATTCTAGAATGTTGAATTACAATTCTACAATGTTCATTTACAGCTTTAGAATGTTGAATTACAGTTCTAGAATGTTTAATTACGGTTTTAGAATGTGAAATAAAAATTCTAGAATGTTTAATTCGAATTCTAGAATGTTCATTTACAGTTCTAGAATGTTGAATACAAATTCTAGTTTTATGAACTACAATACTAGAATGTTCAATTAAAGTTCTAGAATGTAGAATTCAAATTCCAGAATGTTGAATTACAATTCCAGAATGTTGAATTACAATTCTAGAATGTTAATACATGTCAAATGTATTGCATTTAATACTTCTTCACTACATTTAAGAAGGAAAACTTGTAGTTTTTACGAAAACCTAATTCCACATTTGTTCATACTATTTACCTTTAAGATTAAATTATAACAATTTTGCACAACCCTCTTTGTTCTGAAACATAGTCCAAAATACCTATTGCCTGTTAATAAATACATTAAAACGAGTTACTTCTCAACCTGAGTCATTCCTCCTCTCTATATCAACACAAGTCATTTAAAATGTAAACAAACAACCTGCTTTTTTGCAGAGTCCTGTGTTGGTCGCTGTGGCATCTTCAACCCGCTGACAAAATGTCAGTGTGACTCCATGTGTGTGTACTATGGAAGCTGCTGTGGAGACTTTGACAATATCTGCCCTAAAAAAGGTTAGTTCAATATAAACAATACACTTTTTATATTTTGATTAAGTTCTCTTATGTCATTTCTACTGAAAGTCCTTCCTGTGTGACTGAACTTGTGTTTGTTCTGCCCTCAGTTGCTCGTGGCGATACTTTCGAAGAAACAGATGGAGTAACAGAAACAGTGACGACGACTATGATCGCGAGCACACCAAAAGATCTACCACCAACTTTCAACACAGTCGCAGAAACCACCACTGCCTATCCCCAGCCCCCTACCACACACGGACCCCAGACCACACAAGGGCCCACTCCACCTGTAGACCCTGACCCAGCTGTCTGCAGCGGTGAACCTTTTGATGCTTTTCTGCAGCTGAAGAATGGGTCGATATATGCATTTAGAGGTAAATCTGGTGCTCCAAAAGAGTTTGTACAGTCCTAAATCTTGACGTCAGTACCCTGACATGGACTAAACAGTGCAGATCTTTTTATTTATATTCAGTGTTGATAATTTGTGGATTATCCTTGTTAATTATAGTGGGTAGCTTTGTTGGTATCTGTAAAAACACAGAATACAACGCTGGACCCGCCTCATTGAGAGACGGAGCAGAGAAGGAGATAAAGAATTGTTTATACATAGTTTTTTTTTGTAAAATGCTGCATATTATAACTTTTTTAAATGGGACTGATTCAAAGTCTATACTTTCACTCATAGGTGAATATTTCTTCGAGTTGGATGATACGTCCGTTCTTCCTGGGTACCCAAAACTCATTGAGGATGTGTGGGGGATGTCAGGACCCATAGACGCTGCATTCACACGCATCAACTGCCAGGGAAAATCCTACATCTTCAAGGTAGATATTTTACTTGACTTTCTATCAGGTAAAGGACATGGAGGGCCAACCATAACACATTTTAAACATATTGTTCCCTTTTATTATTCTAACTGCTTTGTGTTTATTACTTATCCTCCCTCAGGGGAACAAGTACTGGAGGTTTGACGGTGATGTCTTGGATGACGACTATCCTCGGGACATTTCAGTTGGCTTTGATGCCATACCAGATGACGTTAATGCTGCATTTGCCATACCAGCACCGAGCCACCGTAGCAAGGAGAAAACCTACTTTTTCAAAGGTATTTCTGAAGGGATGTGAGATATTTTTCAGTATTTAAAAGCCCATTTTACCCAGTTTAGATGTTAATGGGTTGATACATGATCAATGAATGAATGCAGTCCTCTCATTCAGTAGTTACGAAAAAAATACAAGCAGCTATATAGAAGTTAAAAATAGTCTCATAGTTACCAGCTGCAATATCGTAAAGTGAATGATGTATCAGTAATGAAAATGAATGAATATGGTATAAATAATAAAATGGATGATTCTGAAGACCATTCTGCACACTTTCAATTGTATTCTTCACGCTCATGTTTTCCTACATGTCAAAATGTGTTGTTTTCTTTTATTAGGGGACAAGTATTACCAGTATGAGTTCAAGCACCAGCCTTCCCATGAGGAGTGCGTCCAGATGAGCAGGTCCTCTCCGTCTGTGCTGTTCTCACGATACACCGACCTCTTCTGCGATCAGACATTGGAGGATTTATTCATGGAGCTCTTTGGAAGCTCCTGTAAGGAAAACCCTTGGGTTTCACAAACATTCAAAGATTCAAATGCTTTATTGTCATATGCACAGTAGCTACAGTGTGGATATGGCAATGATTATCTTAAGTCTCGGCTCCTCCAACAATGCAACTTCAATATATATAAGACATAAAACAATAAAATAGTGCAAGAAGAAACAGAGCAGAAATAAAATAGTGCAAGATTGTGTTGCAAGACCAATGTGCAAGTCATGCAGATAAAGTAAATAAGAAAATACAATAAGCTAAATGTAGCAGAGTATTATTTATGTGAACAAGTAAATGCAGGAGAATATATATATGTAGAAAGAATAAAATAAACATGAACAGAATGTAAAATGAAATACTGTACAGTGAAAGGTTTATTGTAGTAATAAATACATTGTGAGAAGCAAACAGATGAATGCTATAGGCTATGAAGGCCCTTTACAGAGATCAAGCGTCTCATAGCCTGTGGGATCAAACTGTTTCTAAATCTCCAATATCTCCTCCTCTTACAGTCAGCAGTCCTCACACAGGCCCTCGTTACACCAGCAGGGACTGGCAGGGCATCAGGGCCCCTGTAGATGCTGCCATGGTGGGACGAGTGTACATCAGTCCCATGCCTACACCTCCACCAGCAAGGAGGCGCAGCAGCAGGAGGAGGAGGCCCAGCAAGAAGCGTGCACAGCGAAGAAGGCTGAGTCGCCAAGCGTTGTTTGATGATTTCTGGGGATTAGATGATTTGTTTGACTACAGCGATGTCAGCGATATTTTTGAGGAGAGCACCACACAGGACGACAAAAGCACCCCTGTTCAAAATGTTTATTTCTTCAAGAGAGGTATGATACTTGAGGTGAAAGTTCAGTTTCAGAAAATGGTGTGCTTAAAATTCCAGTAAAAACATTTACAATAATGAAAAAGATTAACTCTAACGACTTGATTTGCGTTGTTTCTTTTCTTTTTATGATGACAGATAAATACTACAGAGTGGATCTGCAGACAAAACGTGTGGACTCTGCCAGCCCTCCTTACCCACGATCCATTGCGACATACTGGCTGGGCTGCAAGAGTGAAGAGACACCTGATGCATCGAGAGCAGAGAAGAGATAGACCAACTAAGTCAATGAGGAGAATTTCACTCTGTGTTTTAAGCACACCTTAGTGACAAGTCTTAATTACAGTAATTACTAAGTGAACATATAATAGCTTGTGTTCTTTTTATTCTTAAGGCATTAAGTTAGTGTTAAATGCACCCATATGATGTCTCCTCTATGTTTAAGCAACTAGGCTGAAATTCTGCATGATTAAATAAACTTGAGATTCCAGTTATGTGAGTGCTTTATTATTGTTTTTTGTACAAACACACACCTGTAGCATTCTCTGGCTAGATATAACCACATTCTGACTTTAACCCTACAAATTAATTTCCCTCAAACAAAAATTGTCATACTGGTAAATGCAAGTGAAAGTCTCTCTCAAACAACTGTTCATTCACATTCTGAACCCTGTTGGTCTATACAGTGTATTCATTAATATCTCTACAACAGTAAAATATTGTTGTAGGCTTACTGTGACTGTGACCCTGTGCTGTTGACCTTATTCTCCTGTGAATGCAGTTGTTGCACCCTCTGCTGGACTAAAGATCACAAGGCAGGCGAGAATTTAAATAAAATAAATAAATGTTTAAAATTTGGAATATTTGTCGGCCAATATAATTGTTCTTCTGTCTTCGTATGTAATGCACAAAACATAATTTGTAACTATTTTTGTATCACTCTGTTTGGATACATGCCTGATAATCACGGAGGAAATCACTTCCGGTTTCAAATGTGACGCATGTGTCTTATATGTTACTGCGAGCCCATGTTACTACAATACATGAAACTGCTGTGAGCATTTGAGTCAAACATTTCCTTGTTTTCTCGTGTTGTTTTACTGCTAGTTTTTTTTTTTAATGAACACCGGTATCAAAAAGGCCCCGCTGGGATTCAGATCCAGGATCTCCTGTTTACTAGACAGGCGCTTTAACTATCAACGGCGCCACGTCAGGGCGTGCCCGGCAGAAGGCACTATAAATAAGCACCCACATATCAGTAGGGTAAATATAACATGTGTTTTATTCGTAAAGCTCATAAAATAATCCACAATGTGTAAATAGGGTTATCTGAACATTTCTATACATTTAATTCACACTTTCTTCAGGGCAATCTCACCATAAATACTCTAAACTCAATACTAATTTTTACAATTAGTTTTTTAAATACGTAGCCTATTTCAATGTACAACAAATTTCACAAGTCAACCCAAAATATAATCGATCATTGCAGCAGAAATGTCCAATTCCGACAGATTAAAGTTGTCCAGCTCCGGAAAGCACATACTGGAGAGGTCATTTGTGGACACGTCGGTGCTGGAGAAGCTCTGCTGGCTCGGCATGCTCTCCCTGGGTTCCGGATGTCCCAATTCAGCGCAGCGACTCCCAATAGGCTGGGATACCTGTGCTTCTCCGAGGAAAGCCTCAAACTCCTCCGTCAAATCCCATTCAATGAGTCCACTGTGTGGGAACAATGGGCAGTAATCGGTAAAGTCAGGGGTTTGGTAGTCTTGGGTAACTCGCGGTCCATGAGGGAAGCACGGTGCAGCTTGGTGGGCGACAAAGGGCGATGTAGGTGCGGGCACCCCCTGGATGGTGGAGAGTCTGGTGGACTGAGGTAGACTGGGAGCAGGGTAGCCTGGTGGGGAAGGCAGGCTTGGGTAATGAGGGAAAGCAGGAGCAAACTGTGGGAAGGGTGAACTGGGAGAAGGTGTGTAGGAGAACTGGTGGAGGAAGTCTGACGAGGGCTTGGGGATCTCTCTGGAGGATTTCTTGCTTTTGAAATAGCGAGCTCGTCGATTTTGAAACCAGACCTGTTGAAGAGAATGAAATGTTGTTATTGTTATGCAGTGGTGTAAAATAAAAGTACATATACTTAAGTACAATTGTGAGGGAGTTGCACTTTGCTTTGAGTATTTTCAATGTTTTGTTACTTTGTACTGCGACCCTACAATTAAGAAATAAATAGTGTACTTTTACTCCACTACATGTATTAAGTACCATAATGATGTAGAATATTTAAAAAAAAAAACGAAATAAGTCTTTAGGTAGGCCTACACCTGGAATAAATCCACAAGCTACCCTGCAGCATACAAAGTGACCAGCTCCACGTTTACCAGCTTTGATAACACTTAAAATGTATCAATAATTAAAATCAAAACATTTAATATATATAATTCTGAAGTAGGCCAATCTGCATAAGGACTAAGGAGTACTTTTAATTGTGGCTCTTTAAGTATATTTTGATAAATATTTTTGTTATTTGACTTTAGTAACATAAATTCAGGACTTTTACTTGTAACAGAGTATTCCTACACGTTTGTAGTTCTAATTCTACTAAAGTGCAAGATAGGAGTACTTCTCCCACCTGTTTTTATGTCATAGGCCTACTGGGGGCATATCCAACATTACGCATGAGAAGTCTGTGAAACTCGTGTCATACCTGAATTTTAGACTCCGGGAGCCCGGTTAAGGATGCAAGAGACTCCTTCATTTTAATGTCCGGGTACTGTGTGACAGAGAAGGCCCTCTCCAACTCGCTCAGCTGGGCCTTACTGAAGGTGGTACGCTTCCGGCGACGGTGGGTGTCCGAGCGTGTCCTTTGAGCAGCGTCATGGTGCACTAGATTGAGAAAAGGAAATTATACAGTTTAAATAAGCTTTTCTGAAACTTTCAATATGAATGAAACAGGCTGCAATTATAGAAACATATTTGTAAATGGATAGAACAACTTAAGGAAGTGCGTGAAAGTAAAGATATTAAGGCAAACGTCCATATCGTGAATCTAAAATGGTTTGCCTTGTCTAGTTTTGTAAGGGTCTTAACACAGAAAAGGTCAGACACTCACCTCTGCTGGAGTCTTGTGCGTAATCATCGTTGTTGTTCATGTCCAGGCATGAAGCAGGCCAATAATGTCCCGAGAAAAAGGTGTTGATATCAGAAGCAT